GCCATCTACGTAGAAAATTTCTTCTAAATTAAATCGTTATCTCAGAAATATATCTGTCGATATATCAAACAAAAGACGAACGATCCATAAAGGGTGATTCCTTTCGCGAAATCATTTCGAAAAAGCGTATGGGCGTAAAAGTGGATCAGGTCGCGGTTGAATAGAATATTTCCAAATAACATAATAGGAGAGGAGAAGGAACGATATTATGCGAGAGAAACGATGGATTTTATGGATCTCGTTATCAGGGCCGTTTCTCAATCGGTCGCCTCGCGGCGTGGCACGTGAGCAAATCGAGCCAATCCCCGGCCTCCCTCGTTCGCCAACCAACTTGCTCTCTTTCGTAACCGGAGACAGCCAAGGATCGGCAGAACCACCGTTCCGCGCGATAAAAGCATCATCCAGCCTTTTTTTTCCAAAGGGGACGACCTTCGTCGTCTCGAGAGGCCCCAGACACTTTGGATTCGGTCGGGCAGGACCGCGTCACCGCCGCTCTTTGCAATATCGATTTCGAGGTCGGCCCGATCTTACGTTTCTAATGCGAGTTAACGAACCGTTGCCACGTCGCAACCAGTGTGGCCAGGGTCGTTATCGTTATTAAAATCGTCTTTAAAAGTTAAACTCCTTCTAATCTCTATTTATATACGTAAAATATCCTTCTCGCCTTCCCCCCCCCCCTTCTGCTTTTTTGCTCGATATAAAATCGTTCGATTTAAAGATACGAGGATCAGGGGAAGAGCAGTTGTACACCATCGTTTCGAATAATGATCGTTGCAAGTGAAATGAAATAAATGAGTAGAAAGTCGACTTATCGGTTGAGCGTTATTTCGGTCGTCACGAGGTAGGCGCGAGTCACGAGAAACTCTTTCGTTATGAAGCTTATTACTAATTCGCTAACGAGCAAAGGAATGATATATCATTCGTTGTTTTGAAAGGTCGAGCTTAAACGAGCGAATATTCGCGCACCGATCAACCTGATACCGTGAATGGGTGGCTTGTTGATTTTTGAACGATCGAACAACGCGTTGCGAAACGCGAATTTGGTAAGATGATAATAACGTGTACTTATCTTTGGAATAAAGTAAAAATTATATAGGATTGGTGAAAATATTTCGACCACATATTTATGAATTCCTTTTTTGAATACCAAAAAAAAAAAAAAACCAAAGTTCGATTATTTCGATGATATTCGATTGCAAAAAGATCGATACGGTCGAACTTGACATCGCGCGAGGCTTTCCTCGTGGCATTCGATAAATTGCATTCGCGACGTATCCTTGCCGGAATGACCCAGTTACACGTTTAAATCCCTTGAAATCGTACGTACGAGAATTTATCGACTCACGGCCGAAGGCCGTTCGAGAGAATCTTTTCTGTCCAACCATCGAATACTAGTCGATTCGTCTCTCTTGTCGCTATACTTCTATCTATCTATTGTTTCCGCATTTAACTCTATCTTATCGAATATCTTATCGAAGTAAGGGATTGTTTATTTTTCTCTCTCGATCGATCGATGAAAAATTAGAAATTTTCAAATTTTTGATAAATTCGATAAATAAATATCCATCTCAATTTTAACGGATTTCATTGTTCAAGTTTATTCTATAACTCCGCTACGTTCTTCCCAGCAATTATAAGTATTCTTTCCCCCGGAGAGAAGAACTTAATGTGTCTTCATCCGCGATCCAGTTTTACTCGTTCTTCCTGTGGACCGTGGGATTTTTAACGGCGAATTAGAGACGAACCGGATGCAACGTATGTTTCGTTACCGCCTCGTGCATCCGCAAATTGCAATTGTGTGCCGACACAACGCGTGCGCGCCAAAGTTATTGACACTCTGACATCACCTTTCATCACCATCGTTTCGTGATTTTCTTCAACTCTTATCTTTTTTTCTTCTATCCTTCTTTCGTGCATCTGCCTCTCGATGAAACGAATAATTAACCGCTATGATCATTGAAATTTTTCCTCGATCTCGACTGTTGCGTCGTTTTGCAAAAATTATTTCTCCCTTTGGATTCGCTTCGCGATCCAAATTTCTCGCACGATTTTTCTTTCGGCTCGTTTTTTCGAGGATAAAGAGAAACGTGAAAGGAGTTCGATGATAATTTCGCCTTGAAATGTTCCGATGTAGCAATATTTCAATTTAACAGTTTAGTTAATAAGATTTAAATTCTAAAAAACCTTTCTATAATATATTGGTAGAGTTGAGAAACATGTTTTTCGAGTTGTGCTACTTTGTAGGATTTTTAAAAAAATATTCCTGCAAACATAAAAAATCGAATTTATTTCTTTCGAGATTCCACCTAGTGAAGAGATTTATACATATACATGTTTCATATTCTTGCTTATTTTTTTTTTAAATAAGGAAATATATAGCTGCTCAGTACAAATTTACATGATATTTGCGTTTAACTTTTGCAAAATCAATTTGCCTATTTTCTTAACTTTTTTTTATCTGTGCAAAACAACGGATTGTAGAAGAACTCGATTGTTATTTGAAAATACAACATTGTTTGATACAATATATTGACAAAATACAACGATTTATTCTCTCAACGAAAAATCGTTAAATTTTAATTCTAGAAATCAACCTTTGACTATTCTAAAATTTACATAAATTAAAATGCTAAATTTATACTTTCATGAGTTTCACATTGTTTTTTGAAGTTTACTTAAATAATGAGAATAATACGAATATAACAAATAATATTGCAATTAAACAGATCTTTAATTGCATTTTATCATTTCTAAAAATAGTACTGCAAAAATCAGAAATAATAAAATAAAGAAATAAAGTAGTTAATAAATTATTCTTCGAGTATTGCATACGAGGTAATTTGCATAAACACTATGTAATAATAATGGTCGTACAGCAACACTTCTAGAATATTTCTTTTACAAATAAGCTTTGAAACATGTGATAAATTTATGATCGATACATGGAAAAAGAGGAGAATAGGTATTTAAAATCATGCGTTTTTCCTCCACATAAATAATTACGTTGTGCTTATAAGTATGTTAATTACATAATTAAAAAGATTTCTTCACTCGTACCATCATTTGTCCCTGTCACACAAGATGCACTTTGATTGGTTCGAAATTATATAAACTTGTGGTTTTTATCATACGATAAATTTTCAGAAATTAACGTGTTGTTTAATAGTGTTAGTTTAAAGTATTTTGCGAATTTATTAAAAAATAATTTTTTAAAAATAACGATTTAATATACAAATTCGTCGAAACAAACGTTTTTATTGGGATTTTCCTGCAATTTTTAGACAATGGACACGATTTCTGATTAAAATTATGCAAACTAACGTAAAAGTATGAAAATATACGTGTTTCAAATGAATTTATTAATTCAATTGTAAAATTATTTTTTATACCATTACTACTTCAAATTTAAGAAATATATGTACATTATAAAGTATATCGAAAGAAATTATATTTCAGGATGGTGAATAAGTAAAATACTTTCAATTTTTACTAGAACATGTCCCGTTTTTGCACAATACATTAATCAAGAAAGAACAGAAAGTGTAACGTAACGTTACGTACGTATCTCTAACGACGTCTCAACGAATGCAACTATGTTTCTTAAACGAGAAACGCTCTCCTAAGCTCTATTAGAATCGGCTGACACGGAAACGGAAACGTTCTAGAAACCGCGGCATTAAAGTGCATCCTCATTACCGCAATTCGTAACGCGTATACACAAAACGGGCAATAAATCTTTCATAACACGGACGTGTCTGGAATGGAAATCGTTAAAAGCAAAATAAAATGGTAGGAAAATTGTTGAAAGGTGTGAAATATTATTTTTGCAAAAAATTCAATCGAACGTTATTATATAAATTTATAAAATTATTCCAAAAATATTCTAAAATTCATTAATGATACATCTTTATATACAGATTTAAATTTATCGCTAGAGGGACACGCGTGAGAACAGGTTCTCGAAAGAGTTTATTAATTCTTTGTTCATATAGATAAAGGCATTGCGTCTTTATGTATAGTTTTCTTGTCGATGATTCTGACTTTCTGTGAATCTCGGTGTCGACATTTTAATACATTCTTAATATTATTGTTGATAGTATTAGTATTCGAGAAATTTAAAATTTAAATATCGTCGATTTTTTAAACACTATCAATTGTAAAACTAAGATCATTAAAATTAACACTGAGTAACGTTACAAGAATCATCGAGAAAAAACTCAATAAATATTGAGATATAAAAAAAATTAAAATTCATTATTTCTTTTTATTCATTTCGACTATATTGAATTTTATTTTTAAAACAAACGTTTCGTATAATTAGACACCAATTTTTAGACATATTCTCGAAATGCCTAAGTGAACATGCCTTGTGAATATTATTGCACGACAACTGAACGTATTAATATATAATAATAATATCGAGAAACAATATTGAGAATTCATAATTCACATTGGAAGACAAAACAATTGAACGCAAAACTCGACAGTGGTCTTCGAAAGATTGTAAACACAAATAATCGATTATCGACGTTACATATATTAGTATCAAAGTGTACGATACCTATTTACGTTACAATACATTTATTTGTATTTACGTTAAATAAATATTTTTACTTTTCTAAATTACGAATTAAACGATTTAAATTGAATTATTTTATTTTCTAATTAAATTTTATATAAATATCCAGTATTAATTTTAATTGGGATATTACATCTTTACGCGTGTACGGGATATGAAAGCTCGATTCGCATGTGGCGAACAATAAACTTGAAAATACCAGCGTTATCGATTTCGCGCGAAATTGCGTCAGATTACGATGCAGTTCGAGCGAGTGCAGGAAATGATAAGCGGTGAGGTCGTAATCGTACGAGAACATTCTCATGTTTCCCATAACCATTCATAATTAGCTGCGTCGAGAAAACACGCACACGTATAATCCACGGGATTGTATTATTATATTAGCGATTGACAACGAACGTAGAAACGAGGGAAGCGGTTGAAAGAACAGATCCCTTTCAACCATTCCATTGCTCGGCTAAATTAAAATTCTTCATCTCTTATTCCGGATATGACGGCGTCGCTTACAAGACGAGTTTCCGTCCTGCGCAGTAGTACCGCATATATCGACATATATCTAACGAATAACGTTTCTCTCTATCTCTCTATTATTGACAACTTTAACGCCTTAACGCGGTTTTATATAGAAACATTTCCTCGTTTGAAGATATTTAAAGATGATTTCCAAGTAAATTGGTACGGTAATAATATTATTTACGTGATTTTATTACGAAAGTTCGAGTATCCGAAGAATCTTAAAAAGAAAAAAAAAAAAACAAACTTGAAAAACACGAGAAACGCGTTACTTTCGTTTCACTGCACATTTCCATCCTTTATTTAAGGGTAAACGACACAAAAGATCGATACCTGGGAATAGGATGAACGATCGCGCTTAATCCCTGCGACAAATTCGGAACGGCGAAGCTTTGAAAGGAAACGAGGAGGCAAACTCGAGGAGGCACGAATGAAGTCGCGTTTGCGGAGAATCCACGGCAAGTGGGTTCGAACACGCGCTCCCTCCATCCCCTTTCGTTTTTCCCCTCCCGAAGAAGCGTGGTGCACACGCTTTCTTGCATTCTCCCACCACCCGTTTCCTCTCCGCCTCGATTTTCGAGCGGCTTAAAAACGCCGCTCTCTTTTGTCGCTTCGCGTTTTGTCCGATACGAAAATCCGGGAAAAGCGGATTTCCCCGGGAAGCGGAAAGCGTTCAATACCCCGGATGGGATCGCTTTACATTCGACTTCCGGAGGACGTACCTGAGATTCGACCAGGAATATATTTTTTTCGGAGTGGAGGAAAGGGATGAAACGAACGATACCCCCCCTTCTCTCTTGGCGCCAGGGAAATATTTGTATTCTTTCTCTGCCATTGTGCCACGCGCAATCGTAATTCGCACCATTTCTCATATAAGGTATCGTTCAAAAGTGCACGTCTGATAATGCGGTACCGTTCGAAATTGACGTATTATTTTGCTCGTCGCAGTTAAAGTGACGTTAAGCTAGGATTTCTTTAAGATGTTATATATCGTTGAACGATTTTTCGAAGTTCGCACGTGTAGAAAGAGAGAATGAACGACGATCTGTGATATTAATATTTAATTCCTCGGATAAGCGGAAACTTTGTTGAGAAATTACAGAGGCTATTAATTCTGTCTAATTAATTTTATTAGCAAGGTTCCAATTATACCGACACATTTGTTTACGATAGTTTTGTCATTGGGTGCAATGACGGGATTATAGAAGAGGCTCGAGCCAAAAGCGTGTCGCAACGCTGGAATGTCTTCAGGCGTTTTCAGTATTAAAAGATGACTAGGTAGTAACAAACGATGACTAACACCGCTGTATCATCGAATGGAAGTGTAAGCTGTAAGTATATAACAGGCGCGAGTTCGTTGTCCTTCGCGGTTGAAAATTTCTTTGTTACTTTACATTCCGGAAGTGAGCCATCCCGAAGAAATTTATCAATCCAACCAGTTTACCAAAGGCTAAACATTCCAAGAAGTTCTCGATAAAATTTTCGAGAAAGCAAATGCTCGAAAACGTTACACGCGTGATTAATGATATACGATTTGTACATATCGATGTAGAAGCAGAAGTGTGTGAGTGTGTTCGAGATACTCGCATCACAGTCATTCACACGATTATTTATTTCTCGAAAATGAAATCGAAGCAAGGAAGTATATTATATTTACGGTTTCAAGTGGCATAAATCTCGCGCGAACTTTCGACAGCGATGAAATTTCAAAATATCTCCCCATCGCCGCCATAAATCGTTCCATTGTATAAGATGATGCTGCGTAACGAGGCACGGGCAAATATGGCAGTGGTACACGCAATCCGAACAATTTGCCGATAAAATCGCGATCCGGAAGAATAGTCGCTTCGAGCGATCGTTCCTCCTTGCATGTCTAATATCGCCTACGAAACGATCTTTGCCATCGTCAAGACCCACACCGAGAATCTACGAAAAAAAGAAAAAAAAAAAATCATTGCTGAATCAGCAATGCAAACGAGAACTCGCGAACTTTCACGTTGTTCGAGGGAACATAGGCATCTGCTCGATCCCTGATGCGCGCCATATATTCTTCCATCCTTCTTTGTCGACATTCGAAATTTATTTTCCATTCCATAAAGTGGAAAAAAAGTCGATTTCCCGAAGGATGTTCACACGATTCGTAGACATTCGGTTGAGAACCATTGTTTTAACGAGTAATTTTACGACCTCGCTTAACATTTCCAACCTAAGGCCTTTTTTCCCCCCTTATTCCTTTTATTTATCTAATTTTCCGCAATCGTAAAAGCCACGCGTTCACATCCCGCCAATATTTTCTTTTATTACTCATTTTGACCTTAATTATTTTTACTTCACTCTCGATCCGTCGAAGAATAGATATCCTTTCGATATTTTTTCCCGCGCGTCAAGATCAATTTTTAATTTCCGTAGAACCGCCGTCGCGGAGCACGAAGCTGTATTGGCAAACATCAAGCATGAGTCGGAGCATGTCACGAGCACGTTTGACTTCTGTTCGAATTGCCAAATCGCTTCGAAGCCCGGTATGGTGTGTTGCCAAATCTCCTGGATCGTGTGTTTGTGTGTGTGCGTTAGCGTACGCGTGTACGAAGTGTGCGGGTTACTTAGAGCCGGGGAGAAGTAATTTACCGGTATAAATTATGTACTTTGCAGCTTTCGTAAGGATAACAGGTTTTTGCTTAGCGGCGCGGCTATCGAATAATTTAAAGGCCGATTGGTTGGAATCTAGTTGAAATTGCGCGAAAACACCTTCCGCCCTTTTTCGAGTAATTGAATTACTTAATTTCAGGTAATACGATCTCGCACGAGTCGAGCTTCGTATTCGATTCGAACTCGTTAGTTCGAATAACTAGACTTCTTCGATTGGACGCGTGTAATTGTAGAAAATAACTATTCGAAATCTAAGAAAGAGGTGATTATATACTATATACGCACGTATGTATGAGAGTCGATTGTAATAATTTTGATTGTAATATTTTTTTTATTTAATTAATACAAGAATATTATGCAATAAGTAAGATAAGAAGATAAAATTGGGAAGAAATTCGTTCGATCTAAAGATAGTTGATATTAGCGTCGAGAGTAGAAAGGAGGTTTTTGAGTGAAATAACTTGGACATGGGATGCTCGAAATAATTTTCCAACTCGTTAGAGGTGCACGTTGGGGCGATGAATCGAGAAAAGAATGCGAAGTGGCGATATGAGTTACGGCACCTTGTCCCTTGTAAGGTATCCTTCGATCATCTGGAGCCACGTGTCCCTGTAAATGGAAACACGCCGGCTAAGAATAAACGGGAAGAGCGATGGAACTGAATGGTGATCGAAGACTGCGAATTTTTAGAAACCACGTATATTTTTATCCCTCTTTATATCTCTTGTGCGCCACGTGTACGAGAAGATAATAATATTTCAACGGATTGTTATTGATCTTCCCTTTCTTTTTTTTTTTTTTTTTTTTTTTTTTATCCCTCAAGAAACGAAGTTCTTCACTCGCGATTCGTTTCTCGATTAATATCAATAAGAAAAAGTAAATTTTATATATAAACAATTCCGAAAAGTGAGTAGATTAATATCATTATTTTTAATGCAATGTTGCAATTTTTAATTACATCAAGTTGCAACAGCTGACAGCTTAAGACATATTTATCGTTATGTAACGATGCATTTCGATAAGAAAAACGGTTCACGCCTCTTAAACGTTAAAACTTGATTAATAAAAAGAAGTATGTACGCGAAATAACTTAATGAATTCAGATCGCGATCGTTTTAATTAAAATTAATATCCGATAAAGAATCTAAAAAGGAAATAAACTGAAATTAACATTTTGCATAAAATTGAAAAGTTTGCCTAGAATTTCAATTTTCAAATGTGTATTTTTTTTCCTTCTTTTTTCTTTCTTTTTATTTTTTTTTAAATCGAAAGTAGCACGAATGAAAATTTTTTTTTTTTTTTTTTTTTTTTATATCCCTCAAGAAACGAAGTTCTTCACTCGCGATTCGTTTCTCGATTAATATCAATAAGAAAAAGTAAATTTTATATATAAACAATTCCGAAAAGTGAGTAGATTAATATCATTATTTTTAATGCAATGTTGCAATTTTTAATTACATCAAGTTGCAACAGCTGACAGCTTAAGACATATTTATCGTTATGTAACGATGCATTTCGATAAGAAAAACGGTTCACGCCTCTTAAACGTTAAAACTTGATTAATAAAAAGAAGTATGTACGCGAAATAACTTAATGAATTCAGATCGCGATCGTTTTAATTAAAATTAATATCCGATAAAGAATCTAAAAAGGAAATAAACTGAAATTAACATTTTGCATAAAATTGAAAAGTTTGCCTAGAATTTCAATTTTCAAATGTGTATTTTTTTTCCTTCTTTTTTTTTTTTTTTTTTTTTTTAAATCGAAAGTAGCACGAATGAAAATACTCGTCTACATCTCGTTTGCAAGGTATCACGATATCTTTCTAGGTCGATTTCGTTTATAATAATCTTTTTTTTTTTTTTTTTAATCGCCGATATCTTTGCTTTGACACTTTTAATACTTTTATCATCTTTGCATATTTGATTTTATCTGTACCGGTTTCCACGATTTACGTGTATATATGTTGATACGCAAATTCACCTGAGAAAACAAAAGAATTTCGAAACTCGCCGAGAGAAATCTGTTTAATCGGTGTGTGGCATTCGGTTTACCAAGAATGTCTCGATATTGCGAAATCTAAAATTTGATAGGTGATTGAACGATTCATTCTCAAATACTATGAATCACCCACCCTAGGGTAAATATAGAGACACGAAATCCATGAATCATCCCTTCGTAAAAACCTAAGCAATAGTTGGTATACCCCACTCAACTTCCTCCCGATGAAAGATCCGAATCACGAATCTGAAAGGAGGCATTTTGCCATTCATTAGTCCCTGGAAATTCTAGATGTCCACGTGAAATACTTTCTCGGGTCCTGTTAGTGCGGTCCTGTTGTGGGCAAAGCGTGGAAAAAAAAAAAAAAAACAAGGCGTGCACGAGACTCGATACTCCAGCTTGCTCTAAGGTATCCTTCGCGTATAATCCTCGGTTATCTCGTGCCTGTGCAGGCACATCTGCCACCGTCGAAGAAAGAGGAAATTGCTGCGAGTTGGCCCGTGGAGAATGGACCTTGTGTTCTTGCACTTCTTGGACCGGTGCGCGTAGGTATATACACACCTAACACCTGCCTCTTCGTAAGTTGTTCCATTCCTTTTCTTCTCTCTCTCTCTCTTCCCTTTCTCCGTTCCTCCCTATTCATCCTTGTCGATTACCTTATGGCGAGGCGGAGAGAGAGAGAAGAGAAAGAGAGAAAGAAATAATGGGACGAAGAAGCAGGGCTCGTGCTGCTCGTCCATTCGATCCTTCGGTTACCTGATCTTTGTACGCTTTACGGTCAACCTTGCCTCGTCCGAAATTTCCGGAAACTGGTTGTTCGAGAATTCTTCTTTTCAAATATACACGTATTTAAATCCTTTAAGTCCTTAAGTTCTGGACTTTTGCTTCTGGATTCGGATGAAGTGATTTTTATACGGAATTGGAGGGATAATATTTTATACGCGTGATGTTTGCGAGAGAACGTTAGCAATCACGAGAAGTAAATAAGAAGCGTATAATAAGTAACGGAAGGACATCGTGTGACCAGTTAACGCTATTTTGGACTCGTGAAAAATGACAAATTCCAAATTTGTTAATAAAGTTACCACGTTCGTACACGATCTATGTACAAGGCATGAATCCATAGTGTAGGAAACATTTTCAGGTAACGGCGGCAAGAAAGTGAGTTTCTCCACGAGTGGCAAGACAATGCATCATCGATTTCTCAGGCCTTCCCTGTGGCCAAGCGCGTCGAAACACGTCCATCGAAGGCTGTATTTATTTGGGTCGCGGACACCGGGGAATTATCTGCTCGATCCTTCCGCTCTTGCAACGTCTCTGACCCCCATTCCTCTTTTCGTTATCGGTCTTTATCAACAACCGCTTCGCGGCTAGTTGTGCATTATTTTTAACCGATTGCTCGCGAACTTTCGCGAAGCAGCCGTCTGGACGGTGTTACGAAATCGCGAGTAGGCCGAGCATCTCTCTGATTTATAATTGCAACGGTGATAAAGTTGCAATGAGAGATCGATGATCGGTCTATTGTTACATTGTGCAGGGAGAAACCGATTTTAATAGACTCAATATATCTTAATCGTGTTTCTATATTGCTTTTATCGAAAATTGATATTGTTATATTTAGAAATGTTTGTGAAAAATTAGTTCCAGATATTTTGCGTGTATCGAAATTGATCAAAGTTGTCGACACCTTTGAAATGGAATTGCATATATCTCTAATCAAGAGATATGATTTTGTTTTATATACGTTACATTATGTTCAAAGGAAAAATTTATTTTTGTTCTTTTTCTTTTTTTAAACGATCGAAAATATATTATGAGGTTTAATTATAAAATGTGACTCACCGAATTTCAGATTTTGTAAAATGTCGAGGGAAGAGGCACGATCATCGCGCAAGGAAAGGCAGGAAGATAAGACGGATCCGGGTGCTAGTAGACACGGGAACTTCATGAATTATTACCAATTCCATCCTGCGGAAGAGCGCGTGCGACAACTTCCGCGTGGCGTGTGGCGGTCTGCCCATCCGGACCGGAAATACGTAGGCCTAGACGTCGGCTGTAACGCGGGGGTAAGGCTGAAACAGCTGTCAGACAAAATAGGATGAGTCGTGACCGTGATCCGAAAATTTCCGAACTACAACCGTCTAAATTTAGTCGATCTTATCCCTTTTCGACGATCATTCTTCCTTCCCAAAAATTCTTTTCCACTTGTGAGAAATATTTTTCAATTAAAAAAAATTAGAAATATTTTAGAAAATTCTTCTTCGAATTCTCACATTTATTTAAAAAAGAAAAATTCATCTTCTTCACCAAAAGGTATCTCGCAATTAATTAAATATCGCAATTATCGTATTTAACGATTTCAGGATTTAACATTCGTGTTGCACGACTTTCTCGAGAAAGCTTTATCGGCCGATCAGTCGAAGGAGATCCGTTTACTCGGCGTGGACCTCGATCCGATCTTAATCGAGCGGGCACGGGAACGCAATCCACGCCCGGATCGTATTATTTTCGAGTGCCTCGATTTTTTGACCGAGGATTGTAACCGAGTCCTGAACGAGCATCTTGCCCGATTCGAAAAGTCACGATTCGACGTCGTGTTCTGTTTCTCGGTTACGATGTGGATCCACTTGAACCATGGGGACGAAGGGCTGGTGAAATTTCTAGGAAAGGCTTGTTCCATCACCGACATGATAGTGATCGAGCCACAACTCTGGAAATGTTACAGAAACGCGTCCAGAAGGCTCAGACGATCGAAGGCAGAGGATTTCCCGTTGTTGAAAACATTGAAATACACTGGAGATCCTGTTGAGCATATTGAACGTATATTGAGGGAATTTTGTAATTTTCAAAGAGTCATGGTTACGAAGAACAATGAGTGGAAACGGAGACTATTAATTTATGCGAGGACGTGAGCTATCGCTCTTGAGATTGATGCGTTTCCGTACGCTAATCGACGTCGAACGAGCGACAAGGATATAAAATATATATATATATATATATATTTTATATATATATATATATTTTATGCGAATGCGGTTAAGAATATTAATGTGAGTGATGGAATAATTTCTGATAGATGATTTGCATAGAGAAAAGATAGATGACTTGCATTAATAAGAAAGAAAAGTCATCAAATTTTTGAAAATTTTTGTTTATTTTTTATATATTTAATTTTTTGTAAGTTTGTAATACGTCGAAGTTTAAAATTGACTAACTTCAAGTTTCATTTTGATATGTTGATTATTTAATATAATTATTTAATAATACATAATATTTAACCATTATATTTTAGATAATTTTGTCTTTTTTTAAAATAATTTTAAGTTTCTGAAATTGATTATTTCGAAATTGATTATTCAAATGTAAGAAAAATAATAATAATCGTTTTGAAATATCAAATTGTCAAATTCTTTATTCTTTATCTGTAAGATATAAATACGTATAAATTTATCTTATTCTTACGTTAACTTCCTCTTTTAGAACATCAAAAATAATTGGAAAGCATTGAAATATTTTTGTACGTGAATCATATGTAAATGTTCCAAATATTAATTTAGACTTGTATAAATTTTTTCCATATATTATATAAAAAATCGATATGAACTTTCGAACTAACCAAAGATAAAAATGTCCGTCATTAATCCTGTATAAAATGACGTAATGATGTGAGAAGATGGTAAAAGAGTAAATAATAAAGATAAGTAGAGGTTATAATTACTTGAAGGGAAAGATTCTGAGAACGACGCGAGATGGCAATACCGTACAAATGTTTGTTCCGCTGATGGCGAAGTACGAGCATAACAACAAACTGACATGAACTCTGCGAGCAAGGTAAGCTAAAAGGCATCTGTTGTCGCCGATTTTAGGCAGTTTCCCGCCATATAACACTTAACGGTCGTTCTCCCCCACCGCTCGTCTTCCTTTTTCTACGTGAGTCACGTGCTTTAACCCTCGAGTACTCTAGCAATGGAGTCTGTAAGCGGGCATAAGGTTAGGTTATGATTTCCTTTAACATTTTTTTTTTATTCTTCGACAAAATTGTTTAATAAATTGATATAAATTGTTTTTTTATAATTTTTCAATGAAAATCTGTTAGAAGAAGAGGATATAAATATTAATTGTACAACAAATCATTCAAGCATTTCAAATATTAACTGTTTTAGGTTGGTGAAATTTTCACCGCAGCCGGAGCAGCATTTAACAAATTGGGAGAATTAACCATGCAATTACATCCTACGACGGACTCACCGGCAGGGTAATTGAATAAAAAATGTATATGCAATAGCTTTTTTTCCATAAATAGCGGTAATGCATCTATTGCTTTCGCTTCAGTTTACATGACACTATCCGCATTAGAGAAACGCGGGAGAATGTCACGTGGTGTAGCTTATTAACCAATAAGAGACTTTCATACTCTATAGCTTTATTCAATTTTTACGTGCGAATTGTTTAAATTTGAAAAAATTTTTTGTTATAATATTATTGTTTTTTTGCCATTACAAGATATACGGAAAATATTATAATTGTTAATGCATGTAAATAAAAAAAGTATATGAAATTTTAATTATTTTTTTTATTTTTTCATCATTAGTAGATTAAAAATTAAATAATTAGGAATGGTTTTGCATTATAATTGCTTTATTGCAAAAGAAATGGCTGGCCGTATTTTTACATAATTTCTTGTGTCGCTTGATCTGTAGTAAATGGACTGACGAGGAAATTGAGATGCTCCGTCACTCGGTAAAGACCTTCAGTGAAGACTTGAACAAAATAAGTGAACACATCAAGGGACGAACGGTGTAAGTGAATAAGGCTACATCGAGCCCACGGTCGTTCCTCAATTTCTCTACGTCAGTCTCAGCTCAAAATTAACCGAACATTTTGACTTTTTAGCTCTCAGATTCGGACAACACTGAAGAAGAAAGCATTTGAAGAGGCTGGTGTTCCAATTAGACAACAAATGCTTTCCCAACAATCTTCGCAACAATCAACAGTTCAAGTATCGAAACAACAAGGAAATCAAGGATTAATGGGAAAGTCGGCAGAAGTAACGTTAAACATGTTAAATGCACCAGAATCGGAAGTAGATGTTGAAGGACTGCCAGAAGAAGTAAAACTTGAGTTCGAGGGTGCGACGGAAGAAGTTGCCTCTTAATATCGAGAGTGATCTCAAACGTGTCTATTTCTATTTCAATCTTTAAATTTAAGATAACTTTCACATAATATATTTAGTATTAAGTAATATGTACATTCGATAAGTTATGTTTCTCAAGTAAATTTCTAAAAATTGATCATGTTTTTTCTTTATAGTGTTTCCTTTTTACCGACTCAGTTTAGTGTTTTGAGGGCGCCACAAGTTTGAAAATCATCAATAGAGGTACAAGTTGGCAGCTATTCCAAATGAAGTGGTATACACTAGCAAATAGAGATTTTTTTGTTGATCTTTTGGTATTTGATTGTTTCGCGGCTTACGTTAGTTTTTTTCACATGACGCATATGATTGACAGATTAGCAATGACACGACTGGCAGCGTACCTAACTTGTTCAAGTTAGTTAATCGGTAGCATTCACTGGCTGATCTCCGACTGCATCCTCCATTTTATTATTTAAATTGCAGTTATCTCTCATTTTATAGAGGGATTGGCTGTATGTATTCGATCAAAGTGTAATGATTTATACGGTGAATTTAAGTGAACGTTTTGGGACACCACCTGTAGCTTGTAAACATTAATATATCACGATTAAACATAACAATGGAAGGAGGCATATTAGAAAGTCCAGAGACTACTCTTGATAGATACGATGATGAGATTGCACTTCAAGCTTGCTGTAGTCCTAAAAGGAGACTGCATAAGTTTATTGGCCTCACATTGATGTGTCTCTTAGGCTTTGGTATGATTGTCAATGCTATGTTATCTTTACAGCCGAGTAGCCATTGTTTATATCTGATCGTTCTTGTTTCGGTATATTACAACCTCATTTTAGATATTTTAAGGCCGAGGAATATTACTTGGAATATTTAATATTTATAATTGGATTTTTTATTTTTTTTCGGTTAAATTTTTTATAAAATAAATTTTTTCAATTGCGAAATATAATTTTATTGATTAAATCTTCTAATATGTAAGATTGATTTTTGTAAATGTAAACATCGAAGAATTTTGTATCTTCGATATTTAGGATTGCATACGTAATGAAATTCTAATGAATTTATAAAACTATAAAAATATAGTTTTATTTCTTTTATTATTATAATTCTGAGAATTCATGAATGAAAATATATAATATTTTGACGGAATTAAAATTCAATTTGATATTAAAAAAAATACAAAAAAAAAAAACAAAAAACAAACTATCATGACTTTTATTTATATATACAACAATGTTAACTTCATTTTAAAATAAATTATTAATTAAATATTATTTTAATAACAGTCAAAATAATCATAAATCGTAATATTTAATTTCTATAATATAAAAAGAAAATTTATAAATTAAAATCTTATTTTTATTTAATTAATTATTCTATTGAAATATATTTTTTGAAAAATGCATATAAAGTTGCATTTTACATATCTATTTCGAAATATTTATCTTTTAATATGTATAATACAAATGATAATTTCAATAGTTATATGTAAAAATCTTATGAATTATTTCAGTCTTAATCATGCTTTATTTTTCTTCCGTTTTTGATTTCATTTGGACTTCAACATTCGGAGTCCAACTAAGAGATAATATATTTACACATATGTATGTATATTATCTGTGTAGCCATATTATTTAGATCGTTTTGCATACAACTCGGAATAAAGCGTATCATTATAAAACTATTCTTTTTTTCGAAGTTATATTTTTTTCGGTACACATAACGTTAGAAACATTTTACAAAATGATACAAATCTTATTCTTGGATTTAAATCATACAGATTATTACCATGTATTTCGAATATTCTTTTAAACGATCAGATCATATATCGACCCCCTTAAGATGATTTGCTTATCACGCGATCATCCGGTCAATTAACTGTATGAAATACTTTTATTTGCAGGTGCGTACTTTTGCTTCGATAATCCTGGCGCTTTACAGGATGATTTTAAAACTGACTTGCAAATGCCAACCAGCAAATTTGTTTTGCTTTATTCCATATATTCGTGGCCGAATGTTATTTTATGTTTTATTGGTGGATTTTTATTGGATAGCATATTTGGTATACGTCTAGGAACAATTATATATATGGGACTTACACTGATTGGTCAGATTATATTTGCAACTGGAGCTATAGTCAATGTGTTTTGGTTGATGATGGTTGGACGTTTTGTGTTTGGGTACGTTTCTTTTTATTAAGATATATAATATATTAAAATTATAAAATATAAATTTTATGATATTAGAAATAATTTTTATGCTTTTTACAGTATTGGTGCAGAATCATTAGCTGTTGCTCAAAATAGTTATGCAGTTTTATGGTTTAAAGGAAAGGAACTCAATTTGGTATTTGGATTGCAGCTAAGTTTTGCTAGAGTTGGCTCAACTGTGAACTTTTTAGTAATGGAACCAATTTATAATTACGTATCACAATATTACAAAGGACCACAATGTATCGGCATAGTTCTCTTTCTTGCTGCTCTCACTTGTGTAGTATCCATGATCTGTGCATGTGTATTGGGTATTATGGATAAACGTGTAGAAAGATTATTGAGAAGGGGAGAGGGACAAGAGCACGAGGTCGTTAGTTTAACAGATATTAAAGATTTCAAATTAATATTTTGGTTGATTGCGCTCATTTGCATTGCTTATTATGTGGCAATATTCCCGTTTGTCGCCTTAGGAAAGTAAGTATGAATAGAAAGAAATCTTTGTAATTGTATTTTACATAATTATACGCATAATTATGCAATTGTTTATCTTAGAGTATTTTTCGAACGAAAATATTCGTTTGAACCATCAAATGCAAATACAGTTAACTCACTCGTATATTCCATATCGGCTGTTGCATCTCCTATTTTCGGCTATCTTGTTGATAGAACCGGAAAGAACGTTTCTTGGGTATTTACCAGTATTCTTGTAACTATAATAGCTCATGGATTACTTGCATTTACATATATGAATCCTTATGTATGCATGATTCTTATGGGAATAGCATACTCTATGCTCGCTAGTAGTTTATGGCCATTGATTGCACTTGTCACTCCAGAATATCAGCTTGGTACTGCTTATGGAATGTAAGTAAAATTTAATACATTTCTTATAATAATTTTGAGATGCTTTAATTCTTGTAATATTATTTTTACTTACAGTGCACAGGCTGTACAAAATTTGGGTTTGGCTATAGTTTCAATTTTAGCTGGTATAATTGTTGATCGGGGAGGATACTTCATGCTTGAAATGTTTTTCTTGGGTTGGCTATGGAGTATGTTCTTTTTTTTTTTTTAATATTACAATTTTGATAATGTAAACGTTTGCAAAAAACTTATAATTACATATATAATTTTTTAATAGTTTCATTGATAACTGCTGTTGCAATCTGGATGACAGATATAGCAACTAGTGGCGGTTATCTGAATATGACACCAAGTCAAAGGGAAAAATATGAAGAAATACGACGAAATTCACCGGAAAGTTTCGAAAGAGCGAAGTTATTGGCACCAGAATCTACTTCGGATTTATCCACTGATGATCTTTTACAACCACAATCTGATATTAGCATTAGAAATCGATATCTTTCTCGTATTGGAGGAATGGTAATATTTTCTTTTTGCTCTATTAATATTTTTTTTAAAGATGATTATTTAACGAAACATATAATGCTTATAATAATTTCTTATATTTTTAGGTACCACCTAATGTAAAGGCTCCAATTCATCGGCCATTACGATGACGAATTTTACTTAGATAAATATGAAATAGCTACATTTGTTTAATATCTGAGTAAAAGAATTTGCTCACTGTGTCTTCCTCTAACACAGCATTAATCTGTGATAATTTCTTAATTGATGCGTTTGAAATCAACTAAGATTCATTTTTAACAAATCGATTAATAAATATTTTATTAACGAACTAATACGTCGAAACATGGTTGAAAAATGATATAGATTATTATATACGTTATTTGTTTTTGGTATTCATTATAATTACAAATTTTAATAATAATACGATCTCACGTAACGAAACAATGTATTTATATTAACACGAACAAATCAAGAATTATTTTCTACCTCTTGTTTAAAAAAAAAAAGCTTTTAAATTAATTGTTTAAAACCTATAACAAGTTGTAGCGTATAAATGTATTTTAATGCACATTTAACCATGTATAGCCAAATCAAAACAAAAATCATGATTTATTGTACCGTTTTTTTTTTTATACCTATTGATATTAATTCAATATGCTATATTGTACAATTTATTTATAATAATTGATCATTTTGTTATTATAAAAATAGAATATAATAAATAAAAATTTATAATCGTAAAATTTATGCTAAAATATATAAAAAAATTTTTTAATATTCCTTTGACACAGATATAATTTTATATATACAAAATGATCTTTACAAAAATAAATAATTTTTATTAAATTTTGCGCGAGAACAGTAAATTGTTGGATAATTTAGTATTTATTTTTATTGTCCAATTAAAAGTATCAGAATTTATTAATTAGTAAAATGTATATTTTTATATAAAATATTAAATTGATATTTAAATAATTATAAATAATTTATATTATAAATAATTTTCTTTTTATTCGAAAGAATAAACGCTCGATATAATATATTTAAATTAACGGAGGTACGCCATTGGCTATGACGTTTGTCAAGACGCTTATTTGTATACAGCTGTAGTGTGCAACACGTGCGTACTCGTGGACACATGTATCACTGGTACATTCGCCGTTTTTATCCTAATTTTTGGCAACATGGGGGTCCACGATAACGCGGATTCGAAATATATCGTTATGGGTAATTCGAATTTTTCGAAATTAGCACCAAAACGTCCTACTACCGTGGTATTCAACGACAGCCCGAGCAAAATTCCAAAACACGAAGATAATCAACAAAACGTTCAGACAGAAAACGTGGATAAAGGAAGCATTACTTTACAACAACAAAGGAAATCTTTACCAGTCTATAGGCTTCGGAAGCGGTAAGTTCTGCATATTTTCTTTCGTTTTTCAAACGATTCTCGTTGTTATTCTTTACTGTGAACTTACATCTTAATAAGCACGCGGAGCATCGTGAAACAAAATGGAGAATCGTCAACTATGCAAAGTTGATAATTCGCTTGTTCCTGTACAGATGTCACCTTTTATCGAATCAAAAACGCGCGCACTAAAAATTATATTAAAAGTTATTTTAATTTTTACAAATTAAAAAATTTTAACACGTGTTAAATAATTCAATTAATATTTATAATATTAAATATCATAGACAGTCAAATTGTTCAAATTTTACTTTTTTTATACTTGTTATATCAATATTGAAATTTGTTTCTTATTAAAAATTGCAAATTGAATTTTTGCAAATGCAATATCTTCCATTGAAAACATTCGTATTTACATTATATCTCGCGAGATCATCGTTTTAAAGATATATGTCTTAAAGTTATACATTTTCAAGCATTTTCTAAAGTATTTATCTTTATATTTTTTACATCAAAGATCACGACACGTTATAGTTTCGAAAGAAAAATAATGGAAGTAAGTTCAATTGACGTTTCGTATCTTATGTGTGGTCACGTGCGAAGAATAAATAGATAAGAGCGAATGGTGGGAGAAGGACAGAGATAGAGTAAAAATATCGAAATCAACGCCATCTTCAGAGTGCCGTAAATGAAACACAGAAAGAAAGGAGAGAAGATGATAGAAGAAGGATAGAGACAAAATAAGAATTGGCAAGTAACGACATCTTTTGAATTTTAAAAACATCCCTTTCAAAGAATCGAGCATCAACGCCATCTCTCGACTTTACCTTGATTCAAAGAGATATCTTTGATACTCGAAAGATGGCGTTATCGGTGAATTCTTATCCTATCTCTATCCTTATCCAACTATATTCTATCCTTTCTTTATGAGTTTCATTTGCGGCACACTGAAGATGGCGCTGATTTCAATATTTTTACCCTATCTCTATCCTTCTCCCACCATTTTCTCTCCTTGTCTCTCCTACACTCGCACATTCACGCGCGTTCAAGTAGAGATAGAGCTTCAACGAACGTTGTTATAAAAATTCAATCGATGAAATCGATAATATACGTAATAAATATACACGTTCACACCCTCTGTTCCTACCCTCTTGCCACGAAAAATAATTTAACGAGATATCTCATTCATTCTCATTTCCTTTCCGAATGAATTTAATAATTTCAAAGTTTTAAAATTCAATATCGAAAAAGGAATGGTTGACTAAATCGACCCATCACCCTTTTATCGCGACTCACTTTCCACGTATAAATATAACCTTCTCTGAAGAGTGTTGGGGGCTGTTCGTTTCAGGCTGCTCGAAGAGATCCGCAGGAACAGCACTCTGATCATAATCGGGGAGACGGGGAGCGGGAAGACGACGCAAATTCCTCAACTGCTGCTCTCGTCCGGCATAGCGGGCGGTAGCGGTTGCATAGGCATCACGCAACCGCGCAGAGTGGCAGCTGTGAGCGTTGCTCGCAGAGTTGCCCAGGAGCAGGGCGTGGAGCCCGGCAAATTGGTCGGTTACTGCGTGCGTTTCGAAGACGTAACGTCATCCCAAACGAGGATCAAGTATCTGACCGACGGGATGATGGTCCGGGAGGCGATGACCGATGAGATTTTATCGGATTATTCGGTGGTGATCCTGGACGAGGCGCACGAACGATCGGTGCAGACCGACGTGTTGTTGGGGGTGGCGAGGAGGGCGCAGAATTTACGAAAGCTGAAGAACCTGCCGCCGTTGAAGCTGCTCGTTATGTCGGCCACGATGGACGTGGACAAGTTCGCCAAGTATTTCCAAGCACCGGCCGTCTATTTGGAGGGTCGTCAGCATCCGGTGAAGATATATCACGCCGTCAAGTCGCAGGAGGATTACGCGTTCTCCGCTCTTGTCACGGCCTTCCAGATTCATCGCGACAACCCCGCCAAGTAAATATAATTTATTCCTCCTCCTCCTCCTCGATTCCTTCTCTTTTCTCTTTTTTTTTTCTTTTTTTTTTAAAAATAATTTTATCCCGCACGGAGGAGAAGGCTCGTACCGCCAACGTCTCTGGATAGGAATTTTTTCCCAAAGTTATTTCCATTAGTATGCCAATCTCCTCCGCGTATTTACATACCGTTACTTTTATTAGATTGAGAGAGGTGAGCAGGCTGGAATACGAAGCTATACGGGAAACTAGGCAAGAGAGGAGGGGCGATTTCCTGAATTCTTCTGTCTTCGTTACAGCGAGGACATCCTTGTCTTTTTAACCGGCCAAGAGGAGATAGAGGCCGCGGCGGTGAGCGCGAGGCAAGTGGCCAAACAGCTGGACGGCCAGGGTTATCCGTCGTTGAAGGTGTTCCCCTTGTATTCCGCTTTGCCCACGCATCAGCAGTTGGAAGCGTTTAAACCGTCCCCACCCGGGATGAGGAAGCTCATCTTGTCCACGAACGTGGCCGAAACGTCCGTCACCATCGGTGGTGCGTATACCGAGATGTCGAATAATCGCGTCATTCCTAAAAACCGCAGGTAGAAGTAGAAAACACTGTTCTTCGAAAGAAATCGCGATCTCCCTTCTATGGAACCGAAATCAACATCCGTTGCAATCCTCCTCCCTTTCAGAATGTCAATTGACTTGTAGCGAAAAAAGGAAAAG